AAGTAGACATATAGGGGATGATATATGGGGACACTTTACAGTTTGCATCCATACATCACGTAACATTTGACCTCTGACTTTAGTTTTACATTTTACATCTTCCTTTTTATATTCAAGTTGACCCCAAAATGTGTTTGTCTTTAAAGAAAGAGAAAGAGAATGAGCTGCTTAGTTAGTTACAACTATATTGGAGTATAATATTATATAATAACCTTCAATTATTCATGTGCCGTTACTTACAAATCAATGCCTATATCCATTACCTAGTCTCAGATAATGTCTGTGTAATCAAAGTACACATCGGTCATGCTACACTGATTTTTACTGCACTATAAACTTAGTAAAGTACATTTAAAAAGAACAAAGAAAACAAAATGAATATATACAAAACACAATACTGTTCCCTTAAAAGTAAAAAGCACTGTATATGTGTAGGTGATTGAGACTTTCCAGTTAAAATGTGTTGAGGGCTTAGTTAGAGTAGAAAAGCTCTCTATATGTTCTGGCCCCACCTGTTAAATCCAGCCGGCACCGTCATGAACACAAGAGGGTGAAACAGTCACCAGGAGAAAGACGCTACTGTTGTCAATGATTCACTGACTATAACTCATAGCAGCTCTACTTTATTACAAACCACATATATAAACCTACAAATGCCAATATGGCAACACATAGCATGACACTCATACACTTCCTGCACATATTTGTATAGTCTCTTATCCTATAAACTATGGATTATTATCTAGAAACATAGCTACATTTTTGGTCTTTTTAAACAATTAAAACTATTAACAATACATCCAAAGCACAATTAGGTTATTCCGTACTGGATAGGAATGCTTCATATGATTTTAGTTGGGCTGGGAGACGATCAGGCTTCTCTGTCCTCTATTTCAATCCCCGTGAGTTGCTGTATCAGTCTGTTCGGCTGTTATCTGCAGATGACAGTGGTGTCTCCTTCTACGGAAAATCCACTGCAAGCCCTTTCATCTTACAAGCACCGAACTGCATATTTTTCTTAAATGCAGAAAAATCTTCCAATTTGTAGTCACTTTTTTCCCCCCGGAGACATCTAACAGCCTATTGAACAGAGCTACCGAGCTATGCGCCACACATATGCCCCGTCTTTCAAGCGTTGCGATTGCAGGAGGTGGCATCTGCGCGTGCACTGTGTGGCAGGAACAGCTGGTCAGACCCAGACTAAGGGGTGGCCATTAGCTCTCAGCGCACTGACCTCACAGGAGCACCTGGAAGAGACGGCCAGCAGGCAGAAAGGCTAACGTTTAATTGCACTGAAAATGGCCGCTAAAATGTCCCCGGTGGGGGAAATAGTTGCCCCGGTGAGATGAGAGGAGAAAAGGGGGTGTGTTGCAGTCTTGACAAGGGAAAAATGAGAGAGGACTGGAAAAAGCACTGATGTAATGACAGGTGTCAGGACAAAAGGCACAGTTAGCAATAGAGGCAGAGAGCTATATTGACTGGCAGATGACACACTAAAGTGATCAGCCGTTTGACGGAGTGCCAAACTCCGGGAATAACACGTTTTCAGTCAGAACAATCCCGACACAGCCTAAAAACAAGCTGTCTAACCCCTGCAGGTTCTCTTGCTTGCAGCGCAGGTCCTCATGTAACTTATTCAAGACTCTACCAACCTGGCAATATTCATGTTGGCAGATATGTTAAATAAGTAATGATCCTACTGCTGCTGAGCATATTGACTTTTTTCCTCTAGAAGCTTTTTCTTATGTCCTCAGGTCTGCGTGTTTTTTTTCTCCCTCTTTGTGATTTTAAGTAATAATTGATGCTTTTTTTCCTCATAAATACTTTGCCGTGACTAAATCAATATCAATTACTTAAAGGTTTTCCTTTGATAGGACAGCGCAGGGCATTTCCAGGAAATATACTCGCTAACATCTCATAGATTAGAAAGCAAACAACCATCGTTTCACAATCGTTGCAATAACTGCTCACGTTGTGTGTTATTCCTTTACAGTTCAGCTCTTTGGTTAAATATTGATAGATTACGCCGCTGAGATGGTTTTATGTAGATGTAAAGTAAGATAAAACAAGAATAAACCATCGCTGAAGCTTTCTTGTGACGCATGTTACAGAAAGGAGTAGAAAAAAAGCAAACGACGAACTCTGACAAACATCATTTGCACTCTGTCGGTGCGCATGACCCTTATAAAACTGGTATTTACGAGCCTCTTCCAACAGTGTGCTGAAATATTGCTTTTATATTGTGCAAACTACAGTGAGATCTGTAGGGTCAACATTCTTGTAAAGAATTCTGTGAAATAAGGTCAGGAAACAGATTTAAGACTCACTTTATCCTCTTGAGTGAGTCAGTGGAACGGTCAAACATGAATCCTTAAATCTGCAGCAGGCTGGAATATAACGTTTTAACAGACATCTCACTGTCAAACCTAAAGACTGGATATTAAATCTGAAGCATTCTTTGTAACGGCCAGCAGGAGGCGACAACTCTGGTTGCTTAAGGAGGTCTGATTACGTAGAAGTCCACGATAAAACAGCCCTTAGATGCTACCATTATTAGCATGTAGTGTCCCTCTGTTTCTCAGACTCACATTCGTCATGTCCACTTTCAAAATACCAAAATGTTCAGTGTTTATTTTCTCAGGTTAGATAACGTTAAGTTCTTGTGGTATTACTTAGTTAGGGTTTAGTTGAGTTTTAGTTTAGGTTATGTTTCACTTATGTTTCCGTGTTTGTGTCTTTTCCTGTCTTCTGTGATAGCCTGCCGTGTCCTCATTGTTTAACGTTTAGTTATGTCCCTGTGTTCTGTGTAGTTATTATCTGCGTGTTTCATGTTGTCAAGCTTGTGTTGTCATGTTTACATTTGTCCATGTTTCATGCTTTATTTTGAAAGTTTCCATGTTCAGTGTGTTTAGTTTTGCTTCCCCTGTGGTGTCAGGTTCATTTGTGTCAGCTGTGTTTCCCAGATGTTTCTTTTCCCCTCATTACCCTTCTGTGTATTTAAGTCCTCTGTCTTCCTCTGTTCAGGGTCGGGTCGTCTGTTTGTCTTGCATCACGTCTCTCCAGGTTTCAGGTTGTTTGTCATGTGTTGTTTTTTTTTTCACGCCATAGTTCCGCATCCACCTTTTAGATTCGTCTTCATGGTCATTCTTTCTTGTCACAGTTTTCATAGTTAATCTTAGTTTGTTCCCAGTTTAGCTTTTAGTTTTAATTTATGTTCATGTATCTTTAGCCAAATAAATGGCTCGCCTTTGGTTATACTGAGTTTACTCTCCCGTGTCTGTTGGATCAGCTCCGCAAACATACTGGCTGCGCAGCCGTGACACAGTGGGAGATTTTGCAGTGTCTACAGTAAGCAATGAGCAATATCGCTGTCCACTCTTTTTTTTTGTTTTAAGTACTGGCCAATCACACGAGCATAGACCACACCTCTTAATCTTTAAATTCAAGTATTTTCAGTCCCATTGCTACAGGCATATAACATTAAGATAGATAGCTCACTGGATTGAAGTATAGTACTGTAATGGGATGCCACTCACTGACTGGTCATAAAATATCTTCCCGACTAGATATTCCGCAATCAAATGTGACGGGTATTATTGGAAAGTAGAAGCATTTAGCAACCACAGCAACTCATCCAGCAATGTAATGTCAGACCAGATAAAGTTACAGAGCGGGGTTAGTACCTCAGTAACTGCAGGGATCCAAACATCATCTGGCATTAACATCAGCACAAAAGTTGTGTGCTGGGACCGTCAATACAATTTAATTGAATTAGGCTCAGTGGCTGAGCAGCTCTTGTACATGAAAACAGTACTTTTGGTCGTGCAGTGTATGCTCTGTGTTGTTTGTTGTTTCCTATACTGTACATTACACTTTTGATCTGGTTGAAAGTGGCAAAAATGCACAACTAGCCAAAGCAGGGGCTAGGTTTTCCAGTCCTGGAAGTGGGAAGGGAGCAGAAAGGTTTTTTGTTCAAAGGAATTAAACACATGTTACCTAGCTCATCTTTAATCAAGACTACATTAAGGAATCATTAGTATCAGTTCTGTACTGAAAGACAGTGATTGCATCAATACTGCCTATATGGTGCAAATGCAATCATTTGGCACGCTGAATACAGTAATGTACAGTTTTTCACATTCTTTACCATCTATGTGTTTTACAGTATCAATATAAATCAGTCTGCTCTTGTTGCATCAGTGAAAATCATTATATCCACCTTCAAAACTTTTCTTCTCCTTTTTAACAGCAGTGAACTTTTTAAACTACATAAATGTGTAATCAAACTGTTCTTAGTACTATAAGTATTAATGAATACAACAGCTGAAAAGGCCAGGAAAATTTTCTGAAACCTCTCTCATGTTCATATTTGTTCAAACTCTGCTGAGAACAAGTACCGAGAGGTCTGTTTTCGTAGCCACGTTTGAATTTTAACCTCGTGTACAATATTTATCATGTTTGCTTCTCGGGCGCTTCAATTCTGTGATTTTTGCACAGATCAAATAACTTGTCTCTCCTCTTTCCCCCAGTCCCATGAAAGAGCATGAATCCAGTATGCACAGAGGAGTTTGAGATTTAGAGTTGTTTTCGTGGTCTTGCCATGACTTTCCCTGTCTTCTCCCCTCACCTCCTCTGTACCGTAGATGCTTTTTGTCAGACTCTTGTCGACACCCTGGAGAGCACACCTGGTCTGCGCTACATTTGGAGCACCTTCAAGCCATTATTGCAGGGGAAAGTCCTCTACACACCTGATACACCTGCTGCTCGTCTCCTGGTGAAAGAAGTAGGTCTAGAGGGAAAAAGAAAGGTTTCTATATGTATGCTGAATTTTTGTGAACTTGAAAAGAATATATTGCTCTGGTCAGTTTAAGTTTGCAATGAAAGGTTCAAGCCACTATATCTGTATTTATATATTCTTTTCTAAAGAGTTAGCATGCAAATATATGTAAATCTTGCATACATAGGACCAGACTAATTACTGGTAGAAGGTGCCTGCAATCTGTCTATGAAAACAAAAAAGGAGGATGTCACGCATTAGTGCAGAGCTGGAAAATAAAACATTTAATCAGAGGGCTTGTTCATGCAACGCAATAAGTATATATTGTTTTCAAAGACATGACATTTGTGCATGAGATTTGCATCGTTTTGATAGCTGCGTAACCAAAACAAACAACAGACATGCTGTGAGAATTTTGCATTGAAAATACATAACGAGCATGAGGAAAACCTGTCGACTTCACAGCGAGCGGCCCGGTGTTGGCACAGGAGGCCCTCTTCGCTCCAGACATAGTCGGGGTGTTTACAAGTGAATGTTCAGGGGTAAATAACCCCATTTACATTCAACACCACAGGGGGGATGGCAGTGTTACAGTGTGATGAGTTCCTAGGGAGATTAGCTGAAAGTGCAGTTGTGGAGTGCTTTCATGTTTGTATTGGCGCAGCGAGTATGTTTTCGGTGTGAAGGTGAGACAAATGTGTAAAATAATAGATTATTGTTTTCTGTGTTTCAGGCAAATAGGACCTTTAACGCCTTGGCTATGTTAAGGGAGCTGGCTGACTCTTGGGATGAACTCGGACCACGTGTTTGGGATTTTCTGCAAAATAGCTCACAAGTCAATACAATACGGGTGAGACTCTCGATGGTTGTTTATTTTATGTAATGTTGCACACATTACAATGGTTGGTTTATACAGTATGTTAAACATGGTCAAAGTATCTGAACTTTACATTGCTGGGTTTTTTGTTTTTTTACTACTCTTGGATTTGTGACATCATAGAGCAGGGATGTCACACCCATGTACACTGTGGGACACATAACATAGCATAGTTTCTTTATTTATAAAGCACTTTACATCCAACAATGTTGGCCAAAGTGCTACAAATATAAAGCAAAGAGAAAACAGTTTAAATTACATATAGAATATCTTAAAATTCAAAATAATATAATTAATAAGAAACTAATTAAGAGACATCAACAAGTCCTGCTGTGCTGAAAGCCAAGGTAAATAAATGTGTTTTAAGACGTGATTTAAAAACAGATAAGGAAGGTGCCTGTCTAACATGTAAAGCAACTCATTCCACAATTTTGGTGCTGCCGCAGCAAGCGCCCGATCCCCTCTGAGCTTACAATTAGTCCTGGGCACGCTCAGGAGGAGCTGGTCTGCCGACCTAAGGGACCGGGAAGGTATGTATGGATGAAGAAGCTCAGAGAGGTACAGAGGGGCAGCATTGGACAAACATTTAAAAACAAATAAAAGCAGCTTAAAATGGATCCTAAAATGCACGGGCAGCCAATGAAGTGAATATAAAACTGGGGTGATATGCTCGCATCTACGAGTGCCAGTTAAAAGACTTCCAGCAGCATTCTGAACTAGCTGCAGTGGAAAAACAGAAGATCGACTCTCCCCTAAATAAAGAGAATTACAGTAATCCAGCCGAACGGTTACAAAGGCATGGATTACTGTTTCAAATTGCTGTCGCGCAAGAAACTGCTTAATACAGCCTACTTTGATCTTAAGTGGAGTGGATCATCTCCCCAAGATAGCTCCACATAAAAAGTCACCAGCAAACTTGGTGATGAGATTTACTGAAAATAAAAAATTCAGAAAAATACAAAAAAATGCAAAACGACCTCCTTCACTTTCTTTTTTGCAGTAGAGCTAAATGAAGAAAACAGTAAACATACATTAGTGTCTTTTATAATTACTGCAGTGTATTTTTTTCTCTTTGAAAGATGAGCCTCACATCTGCTGCAGGTGAGAACGTACATGCTGTGTACATCATTTATTCACACCTTCTGTTAAATGTGGAGAGTGAGAGAGGAAAGTAATTATGGATAAGTGCAGGATAATTTTCATCCTAGCAGAAAGGATTATCTATAGAAGTAAAGGACACGGACTTCTCTCTCTTCCACCCTCTCCTCTCCTCCCTCTATTTTGCCTCTCGCCGTATTTCCTTGACACTGACATTACTCCAGTGTCACTCCAAATGAGCTTATAGGCAGCTGGAGGGAAGCAGACATTGGGAGCTCCATATAGCTAGGGTATTCATTACCCTAGCCCTAACCTTTACACAAATGGACCAGCAATCCTCCTTTGTCTTCATTTTCTCCCCACCCAGCCCTCTCCCTTTCTCTCCCTCTGTCCACCTCTCGTTCCGAAGCCGGTGGCTTCCGAGGTTTGTCATCTTCAGAGGTCATTCAAGGTCACGGAGAAGCTTTAGTTTGATGGACCGATTGCTGTCGCCACCACAACTACATCTGAGTTGGGTGATTTAGGGTGTTAAGGTGAATAAAAGGAAATACCGAGCACAAGACAGCTTAGACATAAGAGTATTTGGGAATACTTTTTGCCTTTACATAGTTATAATCTGCAGGATTACAGTTCTGGTTGCTTCAGTGACACCTGTAGGTACTGCTTGAATAAGTGCTGTTTGATAGTGCATGTAAACAGCAACCCCTTTAACAGAGGCACAACAGAAAATCTTAAAGCCCATGCCTCTGACCAAGGGCCACTTACTGCCACATTATGGATGTTACTCTTCCCGTACTCAATTATCCGCTTACAAATGTATTACAAGAGCATGCAGAGAACACAACGGCCACAAAGGGAAACTTTGACCTTCAGATGAAGGTCTTAGCTAACCTAGGTACTCATGTAAGATAAGATAAGATAAGATAAGATAAGATAAACCTTTATTAGTCCCACAGGTGGGAAATTTGCTTGGTCACGTTAAGACAGTTAAGAAAAACAATAAAATATTCAGTAAAAGGACTAGATGTTACAATCCTTGATAAGGCATTGATTTAAATGGAGAAAATCTTGAGGGATAATAATAATGGATTGCATTTATATAACGCTTTTCGAGACCCTCAAAGCACTTTGCAATTCCACTATTCATTCACTCTCACATTCACACACTGGTGAAGGCAGCTGCAGTTGTAGCCACAGCTGCCCTGGGGCAGACTGACAGAAGCGAGGCTGCCATATCGCGCCATCGGCCCCTCTGGCCAACACCAGTAGGCGGTAGGTGAAGTGTCTTGCCCAAGGACACAACGACCAAGACAGACAGAGCTGGGGATCAAAACGGCAACCTTCCGGTTACAAGAGGAACTTCCCAACCTCCTGAACCACGGTCGCCCAAAACCTAACCCTGGCTGTTGGGATGGCTGTTATGAGGAAAGGCAGCCCAGAAACTTTACCAGCGTCACACATCGTTGTCTTTTACTTGAGCTAATCTGCCATTTTTTTCCTTGGTTAGGTTTGGGAATTAGAGATCTGATCTACATTATCATATTAAAATTTGGGACACATCGTCAGTAGTGGACCTTGGATTTATTGGGTGTTTCGGCCATTATCACTAGACACCCTCATCCAAGGAGGCCCTGCCAGGGTTGATCAGGCCCCGGAGTGTGTCACTGGTTTATGTTAAATTGTTATAAAATAAAATAAAATTTAACATGATATATTGAAAACTGTGGACGCTAGCCTGCTAACAAACAAACATACAGAATCTGGATTAAGTTCTCTCCATGGACCTGATATTTCACCTTACCTTTACAGTTCAATTCTTCACTTCATCACATGACCAACAAGGTTAAAGGGCACATCTGTGTGGTTTAAAATGCCACTAAACATTAAGCACCGGACTACACGTTTAAGCGCATGCAGCAGTAGCCGGATGAAGAGATGAACTACTGAACCAGATAAAAAGTTACGGTCAATTTGCCAGCATAACTCTCTCTTACTGCACTTTCAGAATGGCTCCAATTTTTTTATTTCCTCAAAAGACAATTTTGATGGATCGTGTCCTTAACGTTGCGACCACAATGATAGATGTACTGATTTTTTTAAAAGGTCACACGCAGCGCAGAGATTACTTAATTTGACACTTTGTCCTTAGGTTAAGCAGAATATGATCAAAAGTGTTGACACTGAAATGCCACTGAGCACAGTGGGCAGAATATATCTGAATCTTTAACTCTGAATATCACACTGTAGAGGCCACTTTGTTCAATTGACGCGCAGCGCCCTTTGCTGACCAAAAGTCAGGCTCCGCATCGTCCACTTTGAAATGGTCACCACATTTAGCCGCAGCACGCGGGTCACATTTTAAAAAAACGATATAAAATGGGTAATTTCATTGTGGGTTTGAAGTGAATTTTCCCCATTCTTCTTATCAGTGTTTTAATTTTACTTTGATGTAAAACTGTCATTACAGGAACGGTGTCAGATTAATACTTGGGTGTTAATATCAGAGCAACTGGAAAGCGAAGGAACGCTGCGTAAGAGAGGGAGGGGAATGACTGTGGTGCTGTAACTTGAGGGCAAACACATGTAAACCAATAGATGGGAGTCAAATAGCCTTATTCTCAAAGGGTTATTGCATAAGAAGCTTAGAAATGGTTATTTCTCTAAACAAAACAAAATACATATTCATGTAATGTGCTCTATGTAAGTGGGCCATTACCGCTGCAGCAAGGTTCAGTTTTCCTCCGCTTCTCAGCGTATTATCTTTATGAATTGGGTGCGTGATTATGGAAATTGCGTCTTGATCTATGACCCGAGATGAATGTAAGTCACACACATGTTCCCTGCCATGTTAGTGAAAGGGAATTGAAGGGGAGGACCTGCGCCTTTATCTCTTTCATGGTGCGTACGCGGCCTTGTTTGTGCATTTCCAGGGAGGAGATTTGATTTGCATTTGTTCTCTCTGTGGGTCCTAATACATCTGTACCATGCAAATGCATTTATTTGTGCACGTACACACCCTGTGCTGTAAATGAGCACTTCATGGCCATAGAGGAGAATAGCTGATGTGCATCTTAGAGCCGCAAGTACAACACTGCCATCTATCTTAATGCTGTTAATTAATTCTGCAGAAAAATGAATGTCAGCTCCAGCAAAGAGTAAAGCTGCCCCTCCCCCATCCTTTTTATCATCCCTTCTTTTTTCCTTTATTTCTCTTTTTTTTTTTAAGGCTTTTGATTCTCATAAATATTCATTTGCATTCATACCACATTAATTTGAAGCCTCTAACAGGTGGCCATTGTAACTATAAATAAACCCGTCTTCTTGCTTTCAAAATCAGGCTCTGCTGTCGAATCCTGTGTTTGCTGGTACCCTCAAGGCGCCTCTCAATGGCACAGGGTGGACACCTGAGCTGCTGGCCAACTTCCTGTACAACGGGCCTCCGGAAGATCGTCCACCCGGCATGCCACCCACTGACTGGCGGAACGTCTACAACTCCACCTCGGAAATGCTGAAGCTTCTCTCCACTTTCTTGCGTGTATGTAATTTATCTGCTTGTGCTTTGTTGTAAATGCGAAACACCTCATACATCCGGCTTCCACAGGGTTTTGCGATTTCTCCAGTGAAGTGAAAGATTTTCTAAGAGTGGGCTGTTCTTTGACATTTACGTTTTTTTAAACATAATTCTCACCCTTCCACCTCTATTCTTTCTTT